TGAGAGTTTAGAAAATGTGTCTAGTTTATTCATAATTTTTATTATGATTTTTAGAAGTCTCTAACTTATGTGAAAGTGTTCATAATCACAGACTGGTCTGAATTCGTCTCTGAAATGATAGGCAGTTTTGTAAAAATCACCATAAATCGTATAAAAATCATATGGAGATGTGAAAGTAGTCATTTTAAAGGTATAAACCTGAACTACTTGCATATTAAACAGTTTTGAAAGATATTAAGTTTAAGTTGGGTAAAACAGTTCGTGAACAGGTCACAACTTTTCTGTTGTAAGCTGTCAAGTTGAGTTTTGAATATGTTTTGGTGTTTTAACTTGTATTCCCCCCCCCCTGAAAACTGAAGAAAACTAGAAAATGTAGGGGTATGAACTCACCTTGAGTGATTTCTTGAAGAGTGGAAGGTTGAAGATGAAGAGTTTCAAGTCTAGATCACTTGATGAACACACGAAGTTTTGGATGATCCTAAGAACGATTTTTGGTGTTAAGATATGAGTCGATGAACCAAGAGTGTTATGAAAACATGTAATAACACTTGAGTTAGAAGGAAATACTTACCAATAAGTGAATAAATGACTCAAGAACACATCAAAAGTGTGGCTGAAAGTTGAGAGAAAAGAGGCCCTCTTGATGGTTTAAGAAGTGTATAATGTTTGATGGTGAAGCAAATGATCAAGGAAATCTCAGGCATTTCCTTATATGGAGGGTTGCTGGAGCAAGTGGCTAGGGTGAAGGGATGTTTGCCTTGGTTTGTGTGATGTGGATAAGGTTAGACCAATGAGAAAGTGACACATAGGAGGAAAGTGGGCACACTTGACCCACTTGTGGTGTACGATACTCTTCTTAATGTAAAATAATGATTTATAATTAATAAATCCTTGAGAAATAATTAAAATAAGAGTTCTGGGGGTTAAAAATGATAAAAATATGAATTTGGTGAAAAAATTCCGTCAAAAACGGGCTTAGGAGGCGAAAGTAGTCGAAAACCGGCATTAGGGACCGAACCTGTGAGGTTCGGCTCTTAGGAGTGTGAGAACCGAGAGGAGGGAAAGAAGGAACCGAGAGAAGACCGAAGGTCCGAAGTGAGGGTGCGAGGGTCTCGGATGGGGGGGCCGAAGTTCGGTCCTCGCTGCTGGCTTCGGTCCGAGATGGCTTCTGACACTTTCGCTTCTGACAATTTCGCTTCTGACAAGTTCGGCTCCTAAGAGGTTCGGCTCCTAAGAGGGGTTTCGGTCCTATATAGCTGTTTTTCGAGAAATCTTTCCGTTTTGCGTGATTTTTGACCAAGTTAAGGGTCGGGATGACCCGGATGACTATAAAAAGTTTGAGAGAGATTTTGGGAGAGATTTGGGAGAGATTTCACATACTTGGAGAGATTTCACATACTTGGAGAGATTTGGGAGATATTTCACATACTTGGAGAGATTTCACATACTTGGAGAGATTTGGGAGAGATTTCACATACTTGGAGAGGTTTCACATACTTGGAGAGATTTGGGAGAGATTTCACATACTTGGAGAGATTTGGGAGAGATTTCACATACTTGGAGAGATTTCACATACTTGGAGAGATTTGGGAGAGATTTCACATACTTGGAGAGATTTGGGAGAGATTTCACATAATTGGAGAGATTTCACATACTTGGAGAGATTTGGGAGAGATTTCACATACTTGGAGAGATTTAACCTTATTATCGTATAATCTCGTAATGCAAGGTTCGTGAACCCCGTTATGCTTCGTTAATGATCGTTTTAAGTCCCCGAAAGGGTCCTTAGTCGTGTTTTGATGCGTTTAACTCCCTTTTTAGGGTTTTTACATTGTTAACACATAGATTCTTCGAGACACTTGAATTTTTGACATACAAATACACATTTTTATATATAGAGTAACTTTTTAACATACAAGTACTAGTTAAGTTTGACCGGTTTGACTTGTTGACTTTGACTTTGACTTTGACTTGAATTTGACGGTTGTCACAGTGCAGGTCGATTACAAAAGAGCAAGATATTTATACATTTACCTATACCCGATTTGCTGCTTCCTGCTGCCATTAGGGTATCTGAATATTAACATACATATAGAAAGAGATGGTGAGATGGTTATGGGGTTATATGGTGTGTTAGGTCGTAGTGGTGGTTACGGTATCGAGCCAGTGGTGATTATCGATTTAGGGTTGTAAGATTTAGGGTTTTCGTTGGAGATGATGGATAGGGTGGTATGAAGACCAATGATTTAGCTTAACCCACCTGTAGTTTTGTTGGGTTTAATCAAGAATCAGTTCAAAATGAAAACCAAAATTGCAAACTATTAAAGAAACAATACCTGTCTTCGATGTATCTGCTTCAAATCTTTGCGGAAGCAACATTGGTCGTTGCTTCATCCTGGAAAAGAAGAAGCGCGGAAGGGAAGAGAGGGAGATGGCGATCTTTTTGATGTAGGGTTTTCAGCAACAGCGACGACTATGTTAATCTTAAACGAAATTGGTGGAAAATTATTTGTCTACGAAATTTAAACAGAATAAGGGCATTATGGTCAATTCAGGTTGAAGGAGTATGGATGTGGAAGTGACACGTGGCAAAATCAAGACTCTTTTATTAGAATACGGATTGGTACCGTATTTTTCATATAAATTTAGATAAAAAAAATATTTTTTATACAAATTCAATGATTTTATAACGATTTTCAAAACTACATGTAACAAGGTGTTTCACATGCTTATTCTGAAAGTATTTACATAATAGACAATGCATCAACAACCATACTTGTTTTTATTTATATTGTTGTTGTAGTAGATAATCTTGAGTTGTGGATCTATAAGTATATTCTTTTCAGGATGCATCATCAACTACGATCATCCTTAAAAATTACAAAGAAAACATATTATTTCAAAATGTATCCACGCCATACTCATTATGAAATTATTTACACAACAATTTCAGTAGAGAATCCCTTGAATACTCTCATCTTCTTTAATATAGTTGGACAAACATTGGAATTCCATTTTTTTCAGACATGGAAATCTATCCATTACATAGATAGACATTTCCTCAAGCATTGTTAATAATTGATTTTTTGTTGCATCAAAATCGATACAATTAAAGCATTTAGCTACCCATTCTCAGTAGGTTCACATGCATATCCTACAACAACAAAAATGCTCTACACCAAGTCTTAGGTCTGTTAGACATATGATAGTCATATTTAGCTTAACTTGCTTATTACTTCTATTTCTCTTTTGAAATCACCTTCTACATAACTCATGGAAGATTCCCAAAACAATTTCTTGAACTCCAAACCAGAATTGGATTTCCTAAATTTGGCATAAATATGCTTAGCACATTGCATGTGCTCAACATGTGGAAAAATGTATGTATCTAATTGCAACACACATTAAGAAAAGATATAAATTGTAGCTAATGCTTTTTCATATAATAATAAATATAAAGGACTACTTTGTGCTAGTATGTTATCTGTCTACAACTCTTGTATTATCAGAGTCTCAAAGTAAGTTAACGATCATAAACCACGACATAGTCTTTTAAGCAGAATTTGAGTTGGACAGGGGACTAAAACATACCATTAACTATGGGCTTAATCTTGTTCTATTTAGTTGTAGGATCATGAATTTAATACTTAACTTCACTCCCATTTTTTACTTTGGCAATCACCACAATGATATATTTCAACTTTAAAATCATCTACCATATTGAAGAAGCTTTGCAAAAATTGTCATCGTTCAGTAAAATGTTCAAAAGTATATCCTTACACTTGTTGAATGTCGTAATGAACTCTTCTTTGACTGATACATATATATCCCAATCCAAGTCTACTTCATTTAATCCAACAAATGACATATTTAATCCAAAAAAATATGTCGTGGAAATCGCCATATGATGAAAGCAATTGCTAACACTTACAAATCATGTAGTACAATTATATTTCTTCTAAATTTGATGAACTCTAACTATCATTGCACCAAAACCGAATAAAATAAGTTTTTGTAAGTCACTTTTCTTCCCATACTTTTTTTTTCTTAAAAAGATCAACTATTCTTACTTGGATTACTCAAAACTAGGGATGAGCGTGGGACGAAGCCGATACCGACCCGTATCGTTCTCGATTTCGCGAAAACCGAATTTGGTCGTAAGTCAATCCCGAGTACCGAACCGAATTAACATCACCGGTACCGGTACCGAGAATGGTACCGGTTTTCGGTACTAGTACCGGTACCGGCGGTACCGATTCCCGAATCTCATGTATTTGTCGTACCAAGTACCGTCCCATATTTTTAAACTCGGTACGGTTCGGTACCGGTACCTGTACGGGATCGGGATTTGGGAAAAAGAGCTCATCCCTACTCAAAACTTTTAGTTTCTTCTTAAACCCTATTTCGTAATGAATAAACTTCATTACCTAAGAAATCCAACATCGGGGTTGGCTAAAAAGACACCCATTTTACCATATAGACACCCTAATTTAATTTTCCGAAAAAGTTGATTATAAGTAGTTAACTATAGGTTTACTTTTTAAAAAGTGGTCAATGGGTTGTCCAATGATGTCTTATTAGCAATACCCCTTTAGTATAGACTATAGAGTTAATATGAGTTGATGTTTATGCCTTCTCAAAGTCTAACGAACGGAAAATGAATTCACTTTTGTAAAAATAAGCCTCTAAAGTTTAGAGTATAAACACACAAAACAAATTTTTGATTGAGTAAAACGTTAAAATCTTGTAAACTATAGGGTTTTTGTCTCATTCCCATAATAAACTCCTCTAAGCCGATAAAACCAAGAACTAAATCGTTATAGATCGACTATGATATACTTTAAACTGCCAAGAAAACTCAATGGATCACACCTGGAGATTAATGATAGTCTAGGGACCAAATACGTAATATAGGTTCTAAATTAAAATATAAAGTTATCGAATACTTTAGACCGTTGGATCAAGATATATGACCGTTAGGTCAGACGCTCCTCCTTTTCATCCCTCTTAAAAGACTGACCAAAATTTTTGAAACTGCAAACCGCATATCACACAACGAAGGCCAAATCTTTATCCTCAGTGTCTCTGTCTCTCAACATGTCAAAGATGATGCGGTCAGATCGGAAACCACCGCTGGCGTTAAGATCTCCGGTGAGGCTTCGTCCCCGTCGCCCTCTTCAGTCAACTGCAAATAATCTTCAAACCCCGTCAGGTATTTTTCAGCAAATATCTTCCTTTTCTTCGATTTTATGTTGAGACTGATTGTTTGGTTGTTAGGATTCTGGTTTTTACGAAATGAACGAATCCATCTAGATTTTTGTGAAAATGTCCAGATGAACTTTTCTCTGTTTTCAATGAAATAAATTCGTTTGGTTAATATAAAAGATCTATTCACAGTTCTTGAATCAAGATTCATTCTCATTCGTCAATTTTTTTGGTTGAGGTTTGTTATATTACGAAATACGAATCCCTTCCAGGTGATTGTGACAAATGTGTCTAGGTTTTCTTTCCCAAAAAAATTGTGTCTAGGTGAACGTTTGTCTCTCTTTTAAAATGAAAAAGTTGCCAAGAATTCATTTTTATTTTGGCATAAAAAATTCCTTCAACAGCTTCATGATTGGTGAAAAGCTGTTCGTTTTCATGGCCTTTATGTTAAACATCGGTTGATTGATATTAGAGATGTATGGGGTTTTAATATCTTAAACTGAATTTGCTTATATTACAAAACCCTTCCAAGTGTTTGTGAAAATGTCTAGGCGAACCTTTCCTTTCCCTTTTATAAACAAACATATACCAATAATTCTTTTGTTTAGTACAAAATAAATCAGTTCACAAGTTCTAGAATTACTAAAGTATTTGCTAGAGATTTCTGGGTTTTCAGTATAAAAATCTATAATCATGAGAAAGTATTATGTAAAATGCAGAAATGAGCCTATGCAATAATAAAGACACTTTAATTTGTATTCTACTCCCTCCGACCCATCAAAATGGCAATATTAAAAGTTTTAATACTATAAAACCACCTCTTTATACGTCACTCATTCATGATGCTAATTGCTTTCGATCAATAAGATTATTACTTTAAAACCACAATCTTTAATGTATTTGAAAACTGATATAATACTTTTTTCCCCAAATGTTATACTAAAGTTTGTATTTTTCTTGATTCTATAGGTTTTTCAACAAAATCCCGTGTGCCCAAACAATCGATCAAAACAGAAGAATCTGAACTCCGCCCAGAATACCACACAATTTCTTCTGAACTAAAAGCTCTAACAAAAATGGTTCAAGAAAATCTACGGGGTTCCACTGATACAAATCAAGTTTCAAATGCTGCTTATCATGAAAGTCCTTTATTTGAAAGGGGAAAGTTGTATGAAGAGTATTCTGCAAGAAGAAACGAAAGGCTAAAAAGAAAAAGAGGCGAATCTGAGGTTGAGAAAAATACCCCGTGTAAACAATATCTTGGGGTTAGGAATGAGTCAACAAAGAAAACAGAAGTCAAGAAATTTGAGAGTGGAAGGAAGATGACAACCCCATTGGTGGATAGGAAAGAAGTGGGGTCCACAATGAGGTATTCATTGAGAAGTAATTGCAAAGAGAATAAGAAACCGCCTTTGGGTGTGAGTTTTGATAGATCGATGGAAGGAACTTTGGAAAAGAAAACTATTACAGTTAGAAGAACTGCAAGAAAAGGGTATTAGCTATTCGTTTGTGTATCAATATCACAATCTGTGTTGTGTTACTGTTACTGTTATAGTTACTGTTAGTGTAATAGGTTTGAGAAATGGGTTTGTGAAGTTGCAATGATTGATTGATGTTGGTAGAGTTGAGAAAGAAATAGGGTAATTGATGTCATGAACTTTGAAAACCTGTGGTTTTCTATGATATGAAAGGATTTGGTTTGAAACTATATTTGATTTGTGTTTTGGTAACATTTGCTTTTTAAATTAGTGAAGTTATTTGGATTGTGTTTTGAGGTTATTTGAATTTTGTACGAGAAAGATTAATGGTTGTCAAGACTAGAAGAGAACATCTTTCTCATTCTCTTCCACTTGCACAAGGTAACAAAAAAAAAAAATAATAATTCACATGTTAGATATAGAATACATTATAAAAACTGACTAATGACAGGAAAACGATTGTATTTTTATCATTTTTATCATGTTAGATAGAAGTGGTTTCTAATTAGTTTTTCAGTTTTAATCCTTTTTATTGTTAAATTATTATATTGAATCATTTTCATTAAATGTTGATTAAAAAAAACTGTCAAATATAGTATAACTTCAAATCCAAGTATTAGATTTTAAATATTATTTATATATGTTTTAAAATCGGATCATAAACAATATATAAATAATGTTTTTGTTTTTTGTTTTTTTTTTACAAAAAAGAATCAAAATCAAAAGTAAGCTCGACTATAAATATAATACATGAGTATATAGTTATGGTACGTAGAAATACCTTACTTGACACACAATTAACCAAATATATTTCAGAATTTTTTATCTAACACACAATTCAAATGTTACGTAATTCAATAATGTCATGAAAGAAAAAAAAATGAAATCAAAAGTAAGCTCTGAATAAAAAGATTATAAATGTTATATTTGAATATATAGTAATGATATGTACAAAAACTTTATTCTACATACAATTCAAACCCATATAATTCCAAATCTTTATCTGACATACAATTCAATGATACATAATTTAATATGTTTAACCTGAATCATATCGTTACTAATATTTTTCCTATAAATTGGCTTCTTCAATTTCATTTTCATTATACTCAAATTTGGAAAACAATACGTTTTAAGTAAGAAAATAAGTTGGACAAAATATGTCATTGATGGGTTAAATTGCGGAGGCATGTTTATATATAACAAAGGACCAAAAATGTAATTTTATTCATCATTGGTTCACATCATGCCATGGAAAATTTATTTGGTTTATAAATTATAATTGTTTTGACCCTATTAATAGTGGTTTTGACCTTTAAGATGGTTTTCACCTAACAACAGATTTTTAACTAACATAACAAAATATATATATATATATATATATATATATATATATATATATATATATATATATATATATATATATATATATATATATATATATATAGAGACGACGGGTCTCTCTACAACCCCATGATCATAAAATTAAAAAAAAAACAAATTATTTTACAAACCAAAATAGGAAATTAAAACAAAACTTTGGATAAGGCCATAAATAAGTTATAAGTGATAGTTATCATTACGAGTTTAAGAAGCGGTAATTTATTCAAAAAATAACAAAAAAACTGACCAACTTGTTTTTTGGCTACTTTCTTTGTTATTGGAGGATTAAGATTGTTGACATTTTTGACAAAATTAGTTGGAAGGTGTAACTTTTATTTGTATAGAAGTATTCGGTAAAAATAGTTTTAGCTTTTAAAGATGTAAAATTACATACAAATCAAAGATAAAAGTTTTCAAAAGCTACTTGAATAACTTTTGACTTAAGTGTTTTTAATTTAAAATAATAACTAAAAATGCATATCACCGAACAGTTTTCTTTTTTAAGTTTTTTTTTTGTTAAAAGTATAAAGGTAAAAACAAAAAACTCACCATTCTTATTGTGACCGATTAGGGATTTTCTAATATGTGCCCTAAGGGCATACATAAGAAGCATTAAATATCACAAATTTTACCATAATTAAATGTGAAATTCATTTATTATGGAGATTATTAATGTATTTCACTTTTAATTATGACAATATTCATTATAATAAATGAATTTTACATTTAATTATGGTAATATTTGTGATATTTAATTGCCTTTAGGGCACATACTAGAAAATCCCAATTAAAAAAGGGAAAATGACTTAAAAAGGTAACGAAGTTTCAAAAATATACAAAAAAGACCATTGTTTTTTTTAGTACACAAAATACAATTTTACCGACTATTGTAGGTTACCCGGTTTCCAAGTGTTCAAAAAATATCATTGTTGTTTTTTTAGTACAAAAAATACCATTAATGTTACTATTTGTATACAGAATACCAACGAAGTACACATATGTTCAACTAAAACATTGTGGTAACCAGATACTTCAGGTAAATGAGAAAATGACTTAAAAGTGTAACGAAGTTTCCAAAATATTTAAAAAATATCACACTTTTTGTTAACTGTGTTGTAGTCGGATTATATAGAACACAATTACCGGAGATCATGAACCGTCATATCAGTTCACAACAATTGTGCAAATCTCTTTCATTCCTTCACTCGATCGTTCTTGTGGTAACAAGAGAAGTAAGTGGGTAATAACATTAGTTAAACATTCTTGCTTCCCGATCACATTATATGACTCAAACCTAAAACATATATACGTTATATAGATGCACATATTATACATCAAGGTTAGCCGTTCATTAGTGTTGCGGCACAAGAGGCACAAAGGAGAAACGAGTGTGACGTTATGTCATGAGAATTCCTAAATATGGAGTTAGATACAAACTGATCGAGTGATAGGATGAAAGATAATACACAATTGGTGTGAACTGGTATGACGATGACTAATCTCCAATGACCGTGTTCTATATAATCCGGAAACAACGAAGTTAACAAAATGTGCTCTGAAAAAACAACAATGGTTTTTTTTTTGAACATTTTGGAAATTTCAATGGTATTTTTTATACTAAAAAAATAATGGTATTTTTTGAAGAAATTTGAAACTTTGTTACCTTTTTAAGACATTTTTCCGTTACCTGCAGTAACAGGTTACCCACAAGACTTTATTTGAACACATGTATACTTCATTTGTATTTTGTGTATAAAAAATATACTTTAATGGTATTTTGTGTACTAAAAAAAACAATGACTTTTTTTATACATTTTTGAAACTTCACTACCTTTTTAAGTCATTTTCCCCTTAAAAAACATATAAAAAGCATGAAAGCCACCTACTCCTTTGGTGCAAGGACCTCTATGTCGTTTGGTTTCATTTGGACAATTCTTGATTGACATTTAGTTTTACTATCAAATAAGCTTTATAATTTAAGAAAATATGTTTTATTTGTAGAAAATAATAAAACAAAACATACTAAAGTTTATAATTTATTTTTCTCTATAAATAGAGACTAATATTAATATACTTTTTATTATTTTTTAATATTAAAAATTTGAGTTGTGATGAGTTGTTATTGGGAGTGAAATTTTGGGTTTAGTTGGTTGTATAGATGGAAGAAAAATAAATTAGTTTTTTAATATATAGTTGGATTGATTTTAGTTGCAAATGAAAATAGTCTAAAAAAACTTTGTTTCAACCACACAATTTAACCTTACTCTGTTAGCGCCATTTGGTTGGTGAATGTTTTTAAATTTGTTTCATAATCAAAACATTGATACTAGAACTTTTTGATAAGAGATGTATTTTGATAAATAACTTATGCTAAAAACATTATTTTAAGTTAAGCTAACTATTATACGTGAAATTTAGATAATCAAATTATATAAAAATATATTGTTTCATCTATTAAGTCATTAGACAATTAAATATATTTGATTATTTATAAAATATCAAATTAAAATTAGAATTTGTTATTTGATTTTGACTATTCAATATTCATGCATCCAAAAAAGAAAAAAAATGCATTTCCCTTGAACAAATTAAAGGTCTCAAGACTCAAGAGCTCTTGATTTTGGCGTTTCTGTTTCGGAAACCCACTTCGAGTGAAGTACCCACCCTCTCTCACTAGTTACTACAGAGATTCTAGAGAGATAAAGGCAAGGAGAAGGAAAGAGATTCTGATCGGGTCGGGATGAGTCGGAGCTTAGGGATACCGGTGAAGCTGCTACACGAGGCCGCCGGTCACATTGTGACGGTAGAACTCAAAAGCGGAGAAGTCTACAGAGGAAGCTTAGTCGAATGTGAAGACAACTGGAACTGTCAAGTCGAAAACGTTACTTTCACTGCTAAGGTTACTCCCCTCGTTTCCCCAATTAATTTCCAATTTTTATTTTCCATGATTCGGTGTATTTTGTTGATTTTGCTTTTCGTGTGATCTTGTTAAACCCTTGGTTTTAACTTTTCTGTTGGGTAGTGTATAACGAATTAACGACACAATATGAAAACTCTACATCTCTATCTTCGTTTACAGTACTCGTAATTTAATGGAAAAAACATACGAAACAATGAAACGCTGAATTAATTGGGCTATTTTCCTAAACCCTAAACCCTAGGTGCTAGGTCGAAAATGTGCTCTTTCTTTGCAAAAGAAGATTTTGTGTTTACATTAGTTAATGTCTTATGACATGGTTTAACTTTCTTGGTTATTTTCAACATTTTTGGGCTTGTTGTATGAAATTCCAAGGGAAAATGGTGGTTTCTAATTTTTTAACCATTTTGGTAGTAATGTACCAGAGAATCTGTGATGGGGGTTAAGGAATTTACAAATTGATTACAACTTTTTTTGGGGGTGAATTCTATTTGATTCATGAGTTTATACTAAATATTTCCAGTTGGGGAAAATTTTATAGTAGTTAGCATCTGCTTCAGATGAAATAAAACCACAAGATAGAGAAAATCATCAAACTTCAGTCTTTCCGGCTCTAATTTTGTTTGATTTCAACCTGCAACTTAAAGTTTAGTCTATGATCTAAGCTTGACTACAAATTCCTTTTTTCATTATAAATTCTATAAGGTAGTAGTTGCAAAATCTTTTCCTTCAAGATTAGTCGAATCAAAGAACACAAGGAACCTTTTTTTTTGGATAAACAACATCATTTTTTGTTCCATTAAAGTAAAATTATGCAGAAAGAAGGACCTAATTCTTACTTATTAGAAAGCATATGCTGGAAATTTGCGCAAGGTATAACCAAGTGTTTACAATCTCCTAAATCATTTGGTCCATTATTCTAATAATTTTTTTTTGTAATCATATTTAATATACTAATTATTTATTAATTTAAAAAAAAGATAAGAAACCCTGATGATGTTAGTCTGTTGATTATCAACAGGATGGAAAGATCTCACAACTTGAGCATGTCTTTATTCGAGGCAGCAAAGTTAGGTTTGTCATTATCTTCCCAAATAATTACTTTTCATTTTACTTCCATTATAACAGTAACAGTATCAGTATCAATATCAGTAACAGTAACAGTAACAGTAATTGTGAACAATTGGTGCAGGTTTATGATCATACCAGATATGCTTAAGAACGCTCCTATGTTCAAGCGATTGGAAGCTAGAATTAAGGTGCTCTCAGCTTTTCCATTTTCTAGTTTTTGAATTATTTATTTATTTATTTATTTTTAAAATCATGCAATTTTTCTTGGTTAAAGGGTAAAAGTTCAGCACTTGGTGTTGGTCGAGGCCGTGCTGTTGCCATGCGAGCTCGGGTAAGCATTACATTTACGGTTAATGTCAGAATTCTGTAACAAACTATCTAAAATGTTCAAAAAACACCCTTGTATTAATGTCATAACATTTTTTTAGTACAAGGGTGTTTTGTGAACATTTTAGATAGTTTGTTACCCAATTTTGACATCAACCCCTTCATTTATCTCTGAAAATATATTTTGTATGGATGTATTTATATAAGGTGAGTAACTTGGTGTCCTTACATGCATAATTAAAGTGACCTTTTTTATAAAATTTTATAGTACAAGGGTGTTTTTTGAACATTTTCGATAGTTTGAAAAAGAAGTGTGATGTTGAATTATTTTTTGTGTTCTCAAGTTAGAAAAAAAGGGAAAGAAAAGAAAGTTATCAGTTTTAGAATATTACACATCTGTGTAGTTTTGACATTAAAAAAATGTTAGGAGGGAAGAGAAAGGGTAGTTTTGTCATTTTAAAAGGTTGATGAAATCTTCTATTGATGTTTTGTGCAGGCTCAGGCTGCTGGTCGTGGAGCTGCTGCTCCACCTGGTAGGGGGAGGTGAAGTGATTATTAAATCAGTTTCTTTTTTTCTTTTGAAATGTAAACCTTGAAACTAGAGTATTAGCAATAGTTCTAGTTTCAATCATATTTGTGGCTTTTTGGCTTTATTCTACAATCTTCACTTTAAACCTGCAAAACAACATCCTTGATTGTGTTTGTGGCTTTTTATGTTTGTAACTTGATAAAAAAAATGTCACAAACTTTTAGAAGTATTGAATGTAAGAACAAGAAATAGCAATGCACTTCAGTTGAGTTCTCTATCATAGCATTCTACTTTAGTTTCTTCTTATTAGAACATTTTGCTTTGAAAAATAATCTAGCTGATTATAGCAAGAGTAAGTTATAGATTTGGCCCCTGTTGTTTGGTGAAAATCAGTTTTTGAGTCCAATTTTAAAAAATCTGGCATGGCCAGTTCTCATGGTTTCATTTGATTTGCAAGGTTGGTCCCTAAACATAACTTTGTTAACTTTTTTCGTTAAAACCCATTAAAATAGACAAAACTGCAAAATTGGTCCTTGTGGTATTCAAAAAACTTTTGGATAGGGTCCAAAAAGTTTCTGACTTGCATGGAAGGTCCAAAATCATTTTTCTTTGATTTTAGTCCTAAAAAACTTGAAATGTCTATTTTACCCTTTTAATTTCTTTTTTGTATTATTTTACCAATTTTTTTAACAATTTAATAATTAAAAAATAAAAAATTGCCCCACTCACCCTTTACTCCAACTGTACGCACCATTTCTTTCTCTCTCTCTCTCTCTCTCTCTCTCTCTCATCCGGTCGTCTTCCTCATCCCTTCTATTATTTCTACCTCATCCATGGCTGATTCCTTTCTTTGCTACACCAATAAACCAACTCACACCATTGTAAATCCTATAAAAATCTTTAAATAATTATCGTCTCCATCAGATTGGACAAGGAACAGAAGAACGAAAGGCAGATCGATGGGAGCTGAGGTGCAGATGGGAAATCACAAGGAAGGGCAAGGGGTCCGTCGAGACCGACGACCCTTTGTGGGTTTACTCTTCGTCTTCCCTGATCGGGAGAGGGAAGAAGGAACACGAATGGAAGCAGTCAAAATGGTGATCTGGTGGTCAAACAGATCGCGAGAAGGAGTCGATCTCCGACGAACTCCCCTAGGCTTTGCTGTGACATCTCCATTTTCACGTCCAATAAAAACCGATTTTGTTTATGCTTTATAAAAATCAGAGTACTTCTTTTAATAAAAATGTTGCGGAATTTGTTCCCAGAAAAACATGATAAATGCGTTATCAAAGCATTTCTGAAGAAATGTATTTTTATTGATTTTAAAATATTTGGGATGTCATCGTCAATACAGAAACATAAACACAAACAGAACTTACATTCATTATCACTAGTGATTTATTTCTCCTTAATCTCTCAGTGTACTGTAACTTCGTATCGACACCTGTGATACAAATAAGCTTGAGTGGGTCAGGTTGGGAAACCCGGTGAGTACATAGGGTTTTCAACCCACAATAATATAATTATTTTGTTTAAACATCAAACAATCAACCCAATTACCCATCCCTATTATCTTCTTTATTCTACCCTAAGAATCAGCTATTCCTCGTTCATTTATTCCTAAGGGTTATCCTAAGGAATAGACACGAAATCCATCGTTGCCAGGGTTTACTCAACAAGCACTAAATCCATAGTTACCAAGGTTTATCTCGTTTATCGACAGTATCGTTTTCGAGACTCCTCTCGCAATACATGTCAATGGGTCTAGGCACTAAGTCTGCATAGTCGCAAGGGTTAATCTCGTTTATCGACAGTATCGTATTCGAGAATCCTCTCGTAATACATGTCAATGGGTTTTTAGAGTACAGCGAGTGAATATCTCATTCACTACACCTACAGTTTGCGAGCCTGCTAGTGTTCCACTGGACTGTCTAGAATAGTCTGTGGTTGTCATCCATATTCTGCTAGATGACGGGGGCAACACTTGGGTAAAAGGCTTCTCTCATGGTTCACCTCTCACCCTTATCTCATGGTCTATATCACCTCTCATCTCATCATCCAACTCATATTTCATCTACTCATGTTTTACCCAACATATTTTGTAGATATAAAATACATATACAGTTTAAATCATTTAAAACACATAAAATCGTTCATCCAGCATAGATAGCAAGTATACAGATAATGTACACACATAACACGTAATTTATATTAAATACTTCATATCTATGTGTAAGATGAAAGTAATTATGCACTCACCTGATAAGGTGGTGATTCCGGACTCGGACAACGCTTCGCTTCTTAAAACAATTTTCCTTTGACAAAACCTAGTATTATTACCACTAGAGTTTAGTCTAATATTAACCGAGACTAATTAATAGTGTTGCTATTATTACTATTATATAAGTGTTAACACAATACCCTTCACCCACTAGGTGCAGACAGGGGCCAGACATGAAACACCGGAGGGCAGGATCATTTTGGCATATAACACTTCTGAAATCCAGCAACCCAAGTGGCCCTTCAAACCAGATTCCCCGTACCGCGAGTGGTTAAAAAGATATTATAACGACACTTATATAACTCATAATAATAGCCCAAATATTTATTATGAGGTCCTAATAACATTACTATATTGAAACATAAGCTATACTAAAGATAGGGTAGGCGCAACTCACTTACAACAGGTTTTTCTCAAAACCGGGCTCCGCCGAAGCAGATTTTCTGAGCCAAAAGCTCTTCTTTTCGGATCCTTCAGGCGCTCCGGGGCTTCCGCCTCGTGCTAGGGAGTTACCCTAGGCTTGGGGGGGGGGGGGGGGGTTGGGGGGCTTAGAGAGAGAGTCTAGAGAGAGAAAGTAGAAGTGGGAGATGTGAGGAGAAGGCTTCACCCGACACCTCTATTTATAGGCTGGGAAACAGCCCAAATCGTCGAGTAGGAGAACCTACTCGTCAAGTCCATGGCCAGGTGTCACCATCTGGTGGCTAGCCTTGGGGAGGAAGCAACGGCCATGATTGTGCCACGTCACCCAAACTCGGACAACTCATTTCCGACTTAGAAAAATCATAACTCTCTCATACGAGCTCCGTTTTCGACGTTCTTTATATCCACACGTAGATGGAATCATACTCTACAACTTTTGTTTAGACTCCGTCGGCTAATTTTGCCTTCATTTTTACAGTTATATTTTTAACAGGCCGGGACGTGAAAAAAGTCCGTTAAAAATTCATAACTTCTTTATCCGACTTCCGTTTTCGTCTGTCATTTTATCGTTATGCTACTAATAATGAGATCTTCAATTCTAATTTAGGTTGCGTTGGCCAAAACCGCTCGATCTAAAATTTGAATTCCGGGCTGTGCACTGCTAAGCCAAATCTTAGAAAAATCATAACTTCCTCATACGAAGTCAGATTTGGGTGTTCTTTTTATGCATGCTCTCGGTTTAACGTATACTGCAACTTTTGTTTAGATCGCTAAGGATAAAAGTCACTCTATCGTAAATTCACTATTTACGTTACGTTGTGTCGTGCCAGTTTTGTCGCGAAACTTCGACGGGCCATAACTTCTTCGTTATAACTCGGATTTCGGTGTTCTTTATATGTACGGAATCCTTGTGACATATGCTACAACCTTTATTAAGATTATTCATTCTAAATAATCTTCTATCAAAAAGTCGTTTTCCACACTTATTGTCTCTATAATGACTAGCCCGAATCTGCGGGTGTTACATCTACGCTCGTTGTCAGTAGCCACAAATCGAGGGGGAAAGGGAACCGACTTGATTGAAGGGAGAAGGAAGAAGAACAGAAGCAGAACAGGGTGGTTTGGTGGAAGTTTGGTCCATCACCAAAATTAAAAAATAAAACGAAGGCGGCTTATCCTGCTGGGTGACTGTTACAGCGAGGGGGCTGCTCTGGTGGCCTCCTTCGTTGTTCTCCTTCTATTCCATTGGCAAAACACGAGGGATAAGGGGAAAGAAACACCGAAGTAGCAGCCGAGGGAAGCGACGATCCTCTGGGGTGTTTGGTTGTTTCTGATCGACAAGAAGGAGGGGTGGAGGAGGGTTGCCGGTTCCCCTTTTTGTCGTTGATGGTGTAGAAACACAAGAGAGAGAGAGAGAGATAATTATTTTCTTTTCTTTTTTATTTTTAAATTAAAATAGTATTTGAAAAATTAAAAAATATATATATAGAAAAAGAAAGTAAAAGGGTATAACCGTCATTTTAAGTTTTTTTGGACCAAAAACACAGAAAAACCTTGATTTTGGACCTTCCATGCAAGTTGAAAACTTTTTGGACCCTATCCAAAGATTTTTGAATACCATAAGGACCAATTTTGCAGTTTTGTCCATTAAAATACCATTTCTACCCCTCCCCCTTGTCTTATCTTGAGTATATTACATGAATTGTCACTATGGTTTGATGTAAAATTTGCTTTTTATCTCTATAGTTTGGTATTGTTATTTGGCTTTATATTTTTATTCTTTTTTTAATAGTTTTATTATTATAAAGTTAGTGGGACCCATCCTCACTTTCCCCTTCTACCATCTCTTCAAGAGATTCACAAACTGAAGGAAATCTGCAATGTTTTTGTCAAACATAGAACACAACTGTAATGTACAGTATTACAGAGTTCCTGCAAAGTTTTTGGTTATATCTTAGAAAGAAGGTTTTTTTATGTAACTAAACCCTAATTAAGCCCCAACTTATATTAATACCAATTTTAGCCTAATGTCACTAATATTTTCTGTTAAATATAACTTTCTTACTATACCTTACACCCAATAAGCACGGATGGAGCCAAAAATGAAATGGTACGGGGCAAAAAGATTTTATACAAAAATCAAGGTTCTCTCTCATTCCCATTCATGTATTTACCATCAAGTTTTGTTAACTTTTAAAGTCAAGTAATTAGACATTTAACGTAAAATCCTGTGTTTAATCAGACTAAACTTTAGCATAAGTGACCTACTTCTTGTAGGAACTAAAAAGGAGTACCAAAGAAATACTAATGAACTATCTGCTATACATAGAGTGGGGGAAGAAGTATGTCATGACCAAAAACCAGGAACTTGACTTTACATGTTTGACTCGTTTAAAACTCTACCATATATTATTGGACATGAATTCAAGACCACAATCGATACCCGACATTGTAGCTAAAGCTAGAATTTTAGGATTTTTCTGATGGAGATAGAGAAAAAGGGAGGTAAGTATATTGCGACCAAAA